TCGGACCATGTGTTCCCTAAATCGGTTTGGAAAGCGTTCGGGGAACACGGTGGGGGAGGAGGAAGGGGAGGAGATGGAGGAAGAGGGAGAAGGGAGGAGAAGGCCTCTTGAGAGCCTCTTGGGCTACTCTAGGGTTTTATTGGGCCATCTTGGGGCAGTCTTGGAGGCCATGTTGGTGTTATCTTGGGTTCTCTTGGAGCCTCTTGAGGGCCTCTTGGCGCCTTTTGGGGACTTCTCGGGGGCCTCTTTGGCCGTCTTGGGGCGTCCTGGCGCGTCCGACGCTGTCGGGAGCCGTCTTGCGGGCCTCTCTGAACCAGCTTGGGGCCCTCTTGGGGCGCTTCGGGGCCGTCTTGGAGGCCATCTTGGGCGTCTTGGAGGCTTCTTGGCCCGTCGTGGGGCCCTCTTAGGGCCGTCTTGGGGGCCTCTTGGGCCGTCACGAGGCCATCTTGGAGGCCTCGTGGGAGATCTTTGGGGCCTCTTGGGCCGTCGTCAGCCGTAGGAATGCCGCGACGAAGCAAATGCCAAGATCCTTCAAAAACCTAACGAAAATCAATGATTTCGGCCTCTTCGCGCCCTCCTGGATGACCTCTTGGAGGCCTCTTGGGTCGTGTTGGGCCGTCTTGGAGACTTCTCGGGCGACCTTGGAGGTATCTTGGACTCTCTTGGGCCGTCTTGGAGGCCGTCTTGGAGGCCGTCTTGGAGGCCGTCTTGGACCATCTTGGGCGGACTTGGAGGCCATCTTGGAGGCCATCTTGAGCCGTCTGGGAGGATTTGTTGGGGGATTGAGGTCCTGGGCGATCTTTTCGGGTGGCCGGCGGGACGAGGCGAAGCCCCAGGGGGAGTTCTTTTGGGAAAGAACCAAAGCCAAAACCGAAAGGGTTCAGCACGCCAGGCACCCTTGTGATGAATCAACAGGGGGCGGCAGATCCCATGAGCTTCGGCCTATCCGGCCATCGTGCCTGGGTGGTGGGTCGGAGGCCTCATGGATGTTGTTTGGGATCTCCTGGTTGGCCTCTCGGGGAGCTCTGGGATGCAGTTTTGAGGCCTCTGGAGGCTCTTGGGGGCTGTTTGGGGGCCTGATCGGGCCTCTTTGAAAACCTCTTGGGGGCCTCCTGGGGCCTCGTGGGGGCTTCTCGGTGGCCCTTTGGGGCCTCTTGGGGGCCTCTTGAGGCCTCCTGGGGGCCTTAGGGAGCGGAAGGCTAGAATTTTCGGTTCGGGTTCGCCGTTTTGGGCCCCTCTTGGGGCCGTCGTGGGGCCCTTTTGGGCCGTTTTGGGCGGGCGCCTCTTGAGGCCATCTTGGTGCCCTTTTGGGCCGTCTTGGGGCTCTCTTGTGAGCCTCTTGGGCTGTCTTGGGCCGAAAAGGCGAGAACGCCAAAATCCGTCAAAAGCCACCCCTCCAGGGAGGCCTTCTGGAGGCCGCTTGGGGCGTCTGGGCGGCCTCTTGCGCCGTCTGGGGGCCACTGTAAGCGTCCTGGAGTGATCGCTCGGCGACTCGGCGCCCTCTCGGACCGTCTTGGGGGCGTCTCGGGGCTCCCTGGGCCCGTCTTGCAGCCCTCTTGGGCCCGAAAAAGTCGAGCAACAGCCCCGTGCTGAAACAGAGCCGAACTGCATCCGCCCAGAAGCCTTACGCGAGAACACCCGCCTGGAGGATACGAAAGAAAATACGTTCAACAACCGACACGAAGTCCTCCATCCCGCTAAACCTCGCATTAAAAACGAATTCGCGCGGCGCCACGGCGAGAGCCACGTTTTTGAAAACGACCAGCGCTCATTTCTTGAACATTGCTGCAAGATTTCAAGACGAAGGCTCGCGGCGCTAAGCCCGAGAGCCACACTTGAAAAGGAATCGCCCTCCATCCGTGAGTTGTTGCAACATGTTAGCGCGAACGCGCGTGGAGCTAATCCGAGAGCTTCATGTTTAGAGGGGCTAGCCCTTCCATCCGTGAAATTGTTGTAAAATTGTTAAGACGAATGCGCGCTGCGCTGAGGCGAGAGCATGTTGAGAACCACCCGCCCTCTGTCCGAAATTGCTGATGCTTTAAAGTTCCAGGAGCATGACTGGTTAGGACAACTCAGGCGAAATGCCCGGCCCGCCCTACCGACACGTCTGGGGGTGCCACAGAGAGAAGTCAGCCGCAAGGAGATAGGAGGGAGGAGGAAAAGCAGAAAGAGAAGGGGAGCGGGGGGGAGGACGGAGAAGGAAGACCAGGCTAAGCCAAAAATACATCAGAGATGCTGTAATGCACCCTCTCGTCTCAAGTCCCCTCCCTATACGCCCCCTACATGCTTCTTCTCGAAGCAAGCAGCGCCCTTCCTTGAAAGACCAGCACGGTTGGGCCTGCCATTGTGGCGAGGGCCCCGTTTTGACAAGGACATGGATTGCATCTGTGTTGCTTGCTGTGGGAGGATGAGGAGGAGGAGGAGGATGTTCCTCTTCCTCCTCCTCTCCCCCGTCCTCCTTCTCCTTCTCAAGGTTGGGTTGAGCGGGCTTCAAGCTCTCGGCTCGCAGGGTTCGCAACCTCCTCTTCTCCTTTTCCTCCCACCACTCCTCCTCATCCTCCTCTCCTCCCTCACTTTTTCTCCTCCCTCCCTTTCTCTCCTCCCTCCTGCTCCTCCTCTCTCCTCATCCAGTTTCTCCTCCTTCGCCTCCTCCTCCTCCTCCTTCGCCTCGTCCTCCTCCTCCTCCTGCTCCTCTTCCTCCTCCTCCTCTCCTCCTCCTCCTCCTCCTCCTCCTCCTCCTCCTCCTCCTCCTCCTCCTCCTCCTCCTCCTCCTCCTCCTCCTCCTCCTCCTCCTCCTCCTCCTCCTCCTCCTCCCTGTCTTTCTCCTCCATCCTTCCTTTCTCCTCCCTGCTCCCTTCCTCCTGCATTCTCGCCCTCCCTCCCACCATTCCGTCCCCCTCTCGATATCTGCTTCTTCCTCCCTACTCCTCCCTCGTCCCCCTGCGGGCGCGACTGTTGCCGGCCTTCGCTCGCCGGGTCTGGCCCAGGGCCGCTTTCGTGAAACGGTGTTCTGCTACCTGGGGTTCTGTGCGCCCTCGATCCTGGGGGAACGAAAGAGGACCGATACCGCCACTCCCTGGACCTCTCCTCGGGCTCCTTCCGACCAGGACTGCGAGGCAGATCCCGCCGCGGCGAGGAGGAGCGGGCAGCGGTGTCGGTCTGCGTGCTCTTCCTTTGATGTCCTGGTCCGAGCTGCGCGAGTGCGGGCTCACCGCGGGAGAGAAAGGAGGGAGAAAGAGAGAGGGAGGAGGGAGAGAGTGAGAGAGTGAGAGAGAGAAAGAGAGAGAGAGAGAGAGACAACAGAGAGAGAGAGAGGGAGGGAGAGCGAGAGGAATCACGAACTAAAGAGAGAGAGAGAGAGAGAGAGAAAGAAAAAAAAAAAAAATGGATAGGCGCCTCCGCGCGTCGGTGCGGCTCCACGGGCGGCGGCGCGGCGATGAACTCGGCGAGAACCCCGCCGAGCCACGGGGCGGCTCCACGGGGCGGCTCCGCGGGGCGGCGGCGGCGGCGCGACGGGCAGGGCCCCACGCAGCAGGGGCGCTCTCTGGCGGCGGGCGGGCACGGCCGGTGCTCCGCAGGGCTGGGCGGCGAGTCCCTCTGGCGCCGCGCCCGGGCGGCGGCCGCGCCCTGGCGCCGCGCCCTGGCGGCGGCCGCGCGCCGCCGCCAGAGCAAGACAGGCGCCTCCCAGGAGGCAGAAACGAAACGACCGCGGCGACGGGGGCCGCGCAGGGCCTGCCGAGGAAAGACGGCGCCCCGGCCGGTGCCCTGCAGGGCCGGGGGGCCAGAGGGGCTCGCCGCGCCCTGGCGCGGCGCTGCTCCCGGATCTCCGTAAAACGACGCGAAGATCGGGACAAAATCGGATCGGGATAACTCGAAATCTCTGAGAATCGGCGGGTTTGGAGGATGTGTTGGACGCCGCGGCCGCTCCAGAGCGTTCCGGAACGCTCTGAGAGCGCTCCGGAACGCTCTGGAGCGATTCATCCCGATCTTAGCCTTGTTTTACTCCGACGGCTCGACTTTCGGCGGCGAGCCCCGGGGGGGATGTGCGGTGGGGGCGCTGGTGAAGGAGTAGTCCTGGGAGGCGCCAGGCCCTGGAGGATTGCTGATCCAATGAGGGCGGCAATGATATCCATGGCCGGTCCACGATTGGAGTTCCATTGGCTTCCAGACCCTGGATGCTTTATCGAAGAGTTCCAGTGCCCACACAGTGGCGGGGGCGGGCGCCCTCAGGAGGTTTGGAAGGCCTCGGGCCTGCTGAGAAGGTTTCTGGGCCTTCCCCTGAGACGCTGAAGACTTTTCCGAGGGCGCGAGGGCCTCTGAGGAGCTCCGCCGCCTTCTGAGGAAACCTGCCCCCCCCATCACTTCCCCCAGGCGCGCTGTCAAGATTTGTTCCAGCGGCATTTTTCCTCGATCTTGGCCTCCAGTGACCATGATCGGGCCCCGGGACCATGCAAAGTGGATCCGGGGCTCCAACTGGCCCTGGGGAAGGGGTCCGTGCCTTTGGGGTCGCGCGTTGGAAAAATCAGATCGTCGGATGCCTGGGATTGAGTCTGACGGGGTCCAGCCCCTCTGAGGTCAGAGCGCCCATGTTGACCGAAACGACAGGGGCTGGCGAGGAGGAAGCTCAGGAGGAAGCTCAGGATGAGCAGAAGGATGCGGAGGATGGAGGAGGAGCAGGAGGAGGAGGAGGAGGAGGAGGAGGAGCAGGGAGGGGGGAGGAGGAGGAGGAGGAGAGGAGGAGGAGGAGGAGGAGGAGGAGGAGGAGGAGGAAGAGGATGAGGATGGATGATGGAGGATGGAGGCGGAGGAGGAGGAGGGATGAAGAGAGGGAGACGAGGATGGCGGCAGGGTTGGGGAAGGTGGAGGAGGACCAAGAGGGAGGAGGACGGCGCAGGGAGCAGGAGCAGGAACAGGGAGAGGAGGAAGAGCAGTAGGAGCAGCAGGAAGCGCAGGGGCAGGAGCAGGAGGACGAGCAGAGAGCCCCACGGCGCGCGCCGCAGCCATCGCGTGCCTGACCGCCGCGGCCGTGGTGGGCGCCTACGGGGCCTGCCAGAGGACAGACCGCCAGCGCCCCTTTGCAGCGTGGTGATGTTGGCGGCGGCTGCCGCACGTGTCGTCGCCGTCGTCGTCGCGGTCGTCGTCGATTCCGTCGCCGTTGGCGTCGTCGTCGTCGTCGGACGAGGAGGAGGGAGGAGGAGGAGGAGGAGGAGGAGGAGGAGGAGGAGGAGGAGGAGGAGGAGGAGAGGAGGAGGAGGAGGAGGAGGAGGAGTTGGAGGAGGAGGAGGAGGAGGAGGAGGAGGAGGAGGAGAAGTACCAGAATGAGAATGAGGAGGAGGAGGAGGAGGAGGAGGGACTGGGAGGAGGATGGTGGGGAGGAGGAGGATTCGGGGGGAGAGCAAGCCCAAGAGGCATCACAGATGCTGGAATACACCTTCCCGCCTCAAGCTTCCTTGTCATAAGTCAGCACAAACCTTCCTTTCAGCTACAAGACCCTTTTGAAAGACGTGCATCCTGCGGGACAGCCGTTCAGACGAGAGCTCCGTTTTTCAAAAGATTGGCCTTGCATCCTTCTGGCAAACAAGAGGGACGGTGGTGAAAAGTCTGATCATACGATTCAACGAGGTATCCAGTGGTATTCCTGTTTTGGAAAATAAGGACCGCTTCCCATCTGTGTAACCGTCGCACAAGCTTACACGTCTGACCATAAATTGCGAGGACGAAGTCTCAGGCGATAGGCCCATCTTGATAATCAGCCACCCACATCCGTGCGCTGCTACGTATGGTCAAACTTGCAGTCGACACTCTATATGTATAAACAGATGTTCCATTGTACGGACAAGTAGGCCCCCCACCCCAGCCTGGGCCGGCCGACCCCACAACCATCGGCGGAAGCATCCTGATACCTCCCCGTTTCGCTCCCCAGAGACGGCCCGGAGAGGTCAAGAGGTTGCCAGAACGAACCAAGAGGGTTCCAAGATACCCACAAGACAGCGCAAGAAGGTCCCGAGCTGCCCAATACGGCCCAGGACGACTCCCAGAGCACTCCCAAGAGAAACCCAAGAGGCCCAAATGATTTGTTGTGGGGAACGTACATTTTTCGCATGTACGATTTTTCAGCTTTCGTGGCTTTCAAGATGGCCCAGGAGGCCCCCGAGCCAGCCCAAGAGGGCGCCAAGACGGCCCAAGGGCCGCCTAAGACGGCCAAGTTGGCCCCAAGACGGCGCCCAAGACGGCCCAAGAAGGCCCCGAGTCGCCCAAGACGGCCCAAGACGGCCCCAAGACGGTCCAAGAATGCGCCGAGGCGTCCCAGGAGGTCTCCAGAGACACTCCCAGGAGGGCCCCAAGAAGCCACAATCGTTGAGCTTCGACGGGAAAACGTAGATTTCTATCATATGCGACCTTTCGACTTTCACGGCTTTGAAGACGGCCCAAAACGGCTCCCAAGACTTGCCCAAGAAAGCCTAAAACATTCCAAAGAGGCCCTCAAGACAGCCCAAGAGGGCGCCAAGACGGCCCAAGGGCTGCCCAAGACGGGCCGAGTTCGCCCCAAAACGGGTCCCAAGAAGGCCCAAGAAGGCCCCGAGTCGCCCAAGGTTGCCCAAGATGACCCCAAGAAGGGCCAAGAAGGCTCCGAGACGCCCCAAGAAGCTTCCCAGAGCACTCCCAAGAGGATCCCAAGAGACCAAATTCGCTATACTCCTGTAGGAAAAAAGGTACATGTTCAGCATCTACGATTTGGGGCCCTCACGGCTGTGAAGACGGTCCAAGAGGCTCCCAAGCCTTCCCCAAGCAAACCGACGACGCTCCCAAGAGGCCCCAAAGATAGCCCAAGAGGGCGCCAAGACGGCCCAAGGGCCGACTAACGGTTTCGACAAGGGTCTGCACCATTCGTTGCAATTTGTCTCAGGACCGTCTTGGCGTCCCTTTTGGGTGTCGGGCGGTCTTGGGAGCCGACAGTGCGCATTCGGGGGTCCATGGGGCACGAAGTGCGTGAGGGGCGTGCCAATCAGAGCCCCCTTCAGTCATCTTGAGGGCCAGCGGATCGCACCCAGAGGTCCTGGGGGCACGAAATGCGTAAGGGATGTGCCGAATTGAGGCTACAAGCAGCCGTCTTGGGGGCCAGCTGAGCTGCCATGACGCATGACGTGCTTGATGGGTGTGCCGATACTGGGCCCGTAGGAGAGTTGAGTTGCGACCTCCTCGTGTTTATGTGCCTCAGAAGCCCAGGGGCGCAGGAAATGCATAAGATGTGTGCCGATGTGAATCCGTCGTGGACGTGTGAACAAATACATATAGATATATATGCTATATATATGTACATACATACATACCGAAATACATACATACATACATACATACATACATACATACATACATGCATGCATGCATACATACATACATACATACATGCATGCATACATACATGCATACATACATACATACCTATCTACATGCATACATGCATACATGCATACATGCATGCATACATGCATACATGCATACATACATACACACATACACACATACACACATACACACATACACACATACACACATACACACATACACACATACACACATACATACATACATACATACATACATACATACATACATACATACATACATACAAACATATATACATACGCGTTCGCCTGTACATACATATATATATATATATACATATCACTTGTAATTTCACGTGTCCTGGGCAGGTTGAGGGTATTGGCCGGCGGGACGCATGCAATCGCACCATCTTCCATCGCATCATCGCCCCATCATCTACCTTCGACGTCGAACACGGCCACGGCTCCCTGCTCCTGCCTCTGGGGACCCGCCGAATTGAACCCGCAGAGCGGGACTCACGACGGGCACCATCTGAGGGGACCCTGACGGGATCTTGCCCGGCAATTGCCGGCGGCCAGAGGTCTCCAGAGGTCACCGAAGTACGCCGCGCCCCAGGTGGCACCCTTCAGGCCCCTTCCCGGGTCCCGGGTGGCTCTCCCTGAGAGGCTCCGTCTACGGAGCCCTCATTGAGGGCTCCGTAGACGTGAGCATCTCAGGGTGCTGCGGGCACGCTTGTGGGTAGCTGCACGCCCGCGGCTGACGTTACCCTTATCCCCGCCCTCGCACCCCCCCTGAAACATGCATTACCCTCACTGGATACAAGGACGATCTCTATTCGTCCACCGCCGCCATCATCGTCGTAGTTGTCGTCCCCGTCGTCGGTCGTCGCCGTCGCCGTCGTCGTCGCCGCCGCCGTCGTCGTCGTCGACGTGGTCGCTATCGTTGCCGTCCTTGTCGTCGTCGTCGTTGTCGTCGTCGTCGTCAACGTGGTCGTCGTCGTCGTCGTCGTCGTCGTTGTCGTTGTCCCCGTCGTCGACGTCGTCGCGCCGTAGTCAGCCGACGAGGCCCATCCGCGCGCGCGCGCCTCCGCGCGCGCGCCTCCGAGGAGCCCCCGCACGTGGACGTGGGCGGGGCCATGGGCTCCCCCGGACGACGGCCAGGCATCGCGGGGCGGCCCCGGGCTGCTGGAGCTCTCGCCGGTGCGGAGGCGGGCGCCCCAGCCCTCCGCCTCGCCAGGGGGGAAGCTGGTGCTGAGGGAGACTGGTCCTGAGGTTCGAAGAAGGAGAGAGAAAGAAATATTAATCATAATAAGCTTCTGGCGCTCCGCGCGGAGCGCCAAAAGTTTATGTGTATGGCGTTTCTTCTGATTATTCTTCTTATTATTATTATTCTTCTTTTTCTTCTTCTTCTTATTATTATTATTATTATTATTATTATTATTATTATTATTATTTTTCTTCTTCTTCTTATTATTCTTCTTCTTCTTCTTCTTCTTCTTCTTCTTCTTCTTCTTCTTCTTCTTCTTCTTCTTCTTCTTCTAAGCCCTCCTCCTCGCCATGGGGGGAGCGGGTCCTGAGGGAAACTGGTCCGGAGGTGTTTCGCCGTTCTCGGGCTCCCGAGGCCCTCCGCGGGCCCCGGGGGCTGTCAGAAAGTGATTCGGAAGGAAGGACTGGCCCTGGGGGGAAGGCAAAGGCAGCAGGGCTCAGGAGGGTTTCCCTCCTCCTCCTCCTCCTCCTCCTCCTCCTCCTCCCTCCTCCTCCTCCTCCTCCTTGTCCTCTGCTTCCTCCTCCTCCTCCTCCTCCTCCTCCTCCTCCTCCTCCTCCTCCTCCTCCTCCTCCTCCTCCTCCTCCTCCTCCTCCCTCCTCCCTTCCTCTCCCCTCAGGAGGAGGGTTTCCCTCGGGACATGTTTCCCTCAGGACCCGCTTCCCCCGTGCGAATCCTCCGCTGGGCAACACGTGAGGGTCACCTTCCACTGGGGCGACCTGTGGTGCGGGCACACTGGTCGGGTCTGGCCAGGGCCCCAGGTATGGGAAGTCAGTTAGTGATAAGGCCCCGAAGCCACACAAGCATGCCGGAAGCACCAAGCCAGCACCAAGCCAGGTCTGCCGCAGCCTGTGTGTGTTTCTGACGAGAGCAAAGTGGGGTCAGGTTTGTGGACTGGGGCGGGGGAGGCGCCCCGCCCCTCCTCCGCTCGGCTACACGCACCGTCGGGCTGCTGAAACGAGGAACGCTAAATAAGGAGCGAAGCCCCTCTGTGGCTTCAGAAAAGCCTGGGTCCACGAGAAGGGCTAGAGGAGCAACCACGGAAGGACGTAAGGAACTTCGAGCCCCTTGCGAATCCAAACTGTTCCTTGTGTCAGCGTCTTGGCTGTAAGCACGGCCTCTCAGCAGAGTGATCCTGGCCCTGGGCCTCCCAGGTGGGGTCCGAGCAGGTGGGGTCGGAGGAGCGCGCCCCATCGCCGACGCAGCGGCGATGCATCGGCGACGTCGGCGAGGCACCGCCTCCCGCACATGGGACAGGCCTCCAGGTCGACTCTGCGCTGCTCGGGCCAGAGGGGGCCCGTCCTTCGGGGCCCCGCCCTTGGCAGTGCCCCCTCCGCCCGCGCCGCTCCCCAGAGCTTTCGCGCGGGCGCCGCCGCCGCCGCCCTCCCGC